TACTTATCGAAATTTTACTATAGAAAGTCACTAACATCCTCATTTACCGTACAAACTATTTTGTCGGGTTATATTTACATATATTTATATATTTACCTTTCGGGGCCCCTTGACGATAAAAGACCGTGTGCTCTTGTGAAAGAAACGGTACACTGGTTGGATGTAAAAAATATTCTTCCATCTTCACCTAGTTACGATCAAAAAATGTGAAAAGAAAATAAATTATATAGCTTGGACTTACACATTCGACTGTCTTATATCAATGAAAATGGCACCAATCCAAACGTTATGATCTAATGTTTACAAACATGGTACATACGCAATATGGGGTCATCCATTAATTACATGAGGTAATTTTAACCCCCCCGCCTCTCCCCTTGGTGAGATGTCGTGAGACTTTGCTCGACCCCCTCTTCCTCTCCCCCAATCTCACGTGAGATTTTTAAAAATGCTTATTTTTCATGTAAATAAGTTAATCTGTGCTTCACTAGTGAAGACTAGTATTTAAGATATCTAATAACGTAGCAAAGAATCGCAGTGAAAAAAAATCGACTAATAAAATACTTAAATAGAAACAAATAAAATTTGTAACAGAATAGTCATATTTTAGTGGAGAAACATTTTTTACCTAATTTAATCCAATTTTCTTGCAATTTTACACTGTTTCTTCTGGAAAAAAAATTGTGATATTTCCCGAGACCACCCTCTCCCCATATGAGATTGGGTGAGGTTTGGCTTGACCCCCCCCTAAACGCCTCACTTAATTAATGGATGCCCCCTATGCTATTCGCACGAAATTGAAGTTTTACTTATTTTGAATCATAATTATAATAAAAAAAACGTTGATTTTGTTTCTTTCTCTGAGTTTCTCGCTTCGTTATACATATTTAATAAGATTAAATATTCACTATATATCACTCCAAATAATGATAATTTATTGTATGGTGAGATCGCAATAATGAAAGCTTTACTTTTTTGTATTTTAGAATTTGTCATTACTCCCACTACCATAACTATATTATAATAAAAAAATTATATTTTCATACTTTTAATTTAAAAAAATCAACTTTTTTTTTAATTTAGCATAGTAGTATATTTAAATAAACTGACGGTCTCTGTATGTCCCAATGTCCTCCTCTACCCTCTTAGAGGGTATTGGGGCACAATCCATCACGCGACTGGCAGACTTCACATGTCATTGAATTTTTTAATTATCATTTTTAAAATATTCAAGCTTTCTTGTTTTCCTCGTACGATGTTTTCCTTCACCGTGAGCACGTGATAAATTGACACTTAAATTTATTAATAGTAGTACAAAGATCTTGAACCTTTTTTGTGTATAATTACATTAAAACCCATGAAAAAAAATTCAACATCTCACATAAGATATGTTGGATTTTTGTGTAACATTGGCTTTTTACAACATTCCATTATAAACCGAGCAAAACTTTACTTGTTTGTTAACGCTGTAAAAACGTTAAGTTTATTTTGCCTAACGCTAAACAGAGGTTAAACAGATTCATTGCCAAACTATTACGAAGCCAACATAAAAAATATAGACACTATTTCTGTACTAGTATTTTTTCTTTAACGCAGCGTAAAGCAAAGTTGGTATGATGATGAATTCTAATTTTAAAAACACGGTCATATTATGCATTGTGCCAAATATTTTACCATCACGATTCAGCAATAGCCGTCGAAAAGGCCAATGATTTTTTGAAACCTCCTAACATCATGTAAAAGTGACGTTAATGTCATGATATTTTATATCTACCGTTAGAACGATTGCGAACCTTGCCAGTTAGTATTGCCTATTCCGTTCCGTTACAGTAATTAAAAAAGCAACAGCAGCTACAGTTCTCGTAAATGTTTTAACGCAGATTGTGATGTGCAATCTAAAATAATACATCCGTCTAGAATAATATACAGACAAGTTCATTCTAACAATTTTGGACTTGAAGCTATTAGTTCATCTGTTAATGGATTCAAACCCTGCGATTTTAAATAAACTGCAACTTTGTCACTTTATATAAAGCCGTTGTCTCATGTTCTCAAACTTGGTTTTATAATGTTCATGCAGCATAATTAATCTTTGAATCTGATAGTAGATATAAAATATGTAATTGTATCTTCTATTTATAGGATGGCAATTCCAGAATAAAACCAAAGTAAAGTCTGCCTCCATTGAGAGTTACATGAACGAATACATTACAATGTATTGAATTGAATACAATTAAAGCGCCTGCGTTCACGTTCGCACGCGTCAAATTAACTACGGACAACTAGTAAGTACCGATTGCGACATCACTTTCACTTGAACTGTTAGGAACTTTGTGGCAACACAGAAGCCACAGCTTCATAGACTAAAAATTTACCCACATAGTCTAAGTTTGCATTAAAAAAAGATGCAAATGATATGTGACGAGTATTTGAAGTCGGTTTACTGCATTCAAAAATAAACGGCCATCGCATTGATTTATTAAGGCTGAAATAATAAAATCGAGGCAAAGAAATAGTGAACGCGTATGATAGAGGTCAAGCAATTGTCTATTTGAATTTTAACAGTGCTGTTTCGTCAGTGCGATCGATAAAGTTTATGACCTTGTACGCATATTTAAAAAAGCCAATATACCACGTGGAGATAAATAACTAGTGCGAATCGAACGAGTATTTTTAGTAACAGATAAAAACATATTTTGTACTGGGTCTTAAACCAATATAGCCGCAAAAACAAAATGCACATCATACGTTTATAGTTGAATTACGATAGTTGACCACCGAAGCGCATTATTTTCTACCAATTTCTAGACGAACTACATCGTATGATCGTACCACATATAAAAAGGACAATAATATGTAAATGTCGCAATTATAAATAACACAAACCTGGTATATCCAGACTAACAATTGCATTTATTGCAACAATCATTTGTAACATAAATCACTCCCTAAACAAACTTAATAGTTAATACACATATCTTTGCGCGCCATTTCCTGGCTCTACTTCTGCGATTTTCATCAGGCTTATGAATAAAGTGGGCGTCCTTCCTCATTATCGTTAAATGCAACTTGTAACAGTCAAGTAGCATTTGATTTCATTTGACATTTAATGAATACTAATTATATGAGATAGTACTATTACAATATCATTAATTAGGTCCTCAGAGATATTTGATAATCCATTCAGTAGCTTCAAGAATAATAGATTAACCAATATTTACAAACTAAAAATAACGTTTATTAGGTTATTATAGGCTAGATTATTGGCTATTCCTTTTTATCCAGATTATTTCTGTTATGTGTTTGGGGAACCTGAACTCTTGCAACATAAAGTTACGTCCTTAGTAATTGACAGGTTGGTAGTAACTAACCGTGATATCTTTTTTATCACATTTTAAAAATTTTTGCCCTTATTATAGAACATAACTGTCCCGGGGAAGAAAGGCAAACTTCTGGTTCTTATAGAAACATCACAACGCATTATTGTTTACATAATTCGTAACGGATACCAATGTCTGACATTTATATAATTTTCTCAATACTTCCGATTGCTGCTTATAGAAAGTTTAGGTATCAACGACAAAAACAGATCTATAATTAACAGATATATCGATATGGACATTACTTGTAAAACGTGTTATTTAAATAAGTAAGTCAGAAGTCAATGTCCGTTAGTCGGGCGTAGAGCTGCATAAAAATTGTCTAAATTTAATATTTTCTAAAAGTATGACGATGACTTATTAACCGCACACACGGTTTAGTCCACAGACAGTGTTATTATACAAGCAATATGCAAAAATACTTCAGTATTAAAAAAGGCATAATTGTTCTTCGATCAAAATAATAATAGCGTATTGAAGATAAAAGAGAAGAAATAAAAATATCACAAAAATGTTAAAACATCTCCGGGTAACATGAGCGTCCATATAAATGTTATACCAACATATTTTCTGAAAAGTTGCATCTTGCGTCTTCGTTTCAAATTACTTTTTCATGTTAAACCACGGGTACAGAATAATATCCTTAAAGATTTTAAGGATGTACAAGATAAAAAAACATTAATTAGCCAGTACAACCAGGAGCTTTTTTCAAAAAGTGTGACAGCGACTAAAACATTAGATATTAATATAATGAAACTGTTCTCTCTTCTATATAAATATCTAGTTGATAAAAATCACATTAAATAATAACAAAACTGATAACAAAACATTGAATGATTGATAAAGTGGTATTTAGCGTAGCATAAGCGATAAAACCTTAGGATAGAACGAGTGTCCGGACGTATTCACATACGTGGAGAAAACAATATAAGAACCATAGACGACCTAACACAGTCTCAAAGTCTGCGGATAGCGGGCAGTCAGCCGGTAGTCAAACAATCGAGCCATAAAGAGCGCGCAATTCCCCGGTTCAATGACAAAGGCAAACAATGCCTGACGACGGATTCGAGCGTTGGCAATTGCAACTCATTATTATATCAATGGAGAAATCCGCGGTGTGGGCGACGTGACGTAGTGGAGAAACGTCCCAACGGCGAAATTGCAACGGGTAGCCATAGAGCGCATTTGCATGCGCTTCATATGGCTCGGCACGCGTGTGCCGACTTAGCGCAACGAAACCTTTTACACGTAAGGAATCCCTAATATCGTAGTTGAAATCCGCTAACAAGAAAACAAACTGAGCTGTAGGCCAGTATTAATATGCCTCGATGTAAAATTATGTAAGTTACAAGGACATAATTCATACGTAGGGTATGTCACCAAATCTCAGAACGGTTCAAAGTTTTATTTATATAATAAATATGACAATAATTGCAAACTAAATTACTGAGGAGAATGCATAGTGCAAATGTTTGCGAAATCTAAACAATAACCGCACTGACGTAGTTTCACGGAAACTTTTCTTTTTTAGGTGTTTTGGCAGTATATAAAACTTTGCCATAACCGTTCATATTCATACTTCATTAGCAAAAGGAGATTAATAAATGAATACTTATTCTATCTATTAATAACTTTTATCTTTACCTGCTTTTGAGTTTTGTCAGGCAGTATGACGGAAAGTTCAAATGATCTGTTTTTCTTGTCTCGACTGCCAGATCGCATGAGCTTTGAAGAAGAGCGGGTTATGCTTTGTGCCTTCTCTGGTAGCTTCAACGCTACAATAGACATGCTGCGTGAGAGGCGCCTTCCCAACTTACGGGTCCTCAGCGACATTGACCCGCTTAAACCGCGCTTGCGGCCTTCCATAACCGCTGGAGGTACAGTCTGCTCCACAGCCACACCTTCCTCACTTGCACCAGCCATCGCACTATCTCGATAACGCCACCAGTGTAAAAATTCCACAACGTCAACAATCACATCTCCGTCGAAAACAAATCCGAAAGCTGTCACTGTCGCCCGCACTCGGTATTATCACGACGGGAAACTCGATCTCACCGACGCTCGCAGATTTAAAGCACTTTTCAGTTGTTGATCCGCATCGTAACCGTGTACCGATATCCGAGGGGAGGGCGTGCAGTCAGTCGCGGATCATATGGTCACCGGAGCCGGTTCCGCCCCACCGACCTATCTCGCGTTCGCGATACGACACTGTCGATGTTCGGCCTCACGACAATCGTAGCTCAGCGATTGTGTGGCGACTGCGCGGTTTACGATTTAAACGGGGCGCGTTATCTTGAGCGTGGTGCGTTTTGTGCGGTGGCGCGACGTGCGCGCGAACTGCCGCGACCGGAGCGACTAAAGCGGCGGAGAGGCAGCGCTGCATCGCCGCCCCCGCCTCTTCTCTCGAGCGCGACTAGACAGAAATCCAATTGCTTATCGAAACGCACTGTAAGTAAACGCCGCGACACCTAACTAATGTTTCCTTTGTGAGGAGCGATGTGCGGTCTTGGTCGCTCCCACGAGATTTTTGACACCGAATCAGGACATCCTCGGCTGGCTTAACGGGATCCGACACTGTCAATGGCGCGTCATTTTCACAGATTGCCGACACAAAAGTGCCCCTTCCTCTACGTCTATTCATTCATTTGGATTTATTGCTAATTATTTCGCTAGTGTTTGTTTCATTGTTGTAAATTAATAGGACGATTCTGATATATACATACAAGACGTACTTGTACATTTTTTTTTTCATTTTATTTTATGCCCATCTCATATATTTATTAGAAAAATTTGTGAAATTTTTCTCGTGTGGGAATCAAAACCACGACCCCCGGGGCTGAAATCAATACCTTAGCAACGGAACCACAGAGTCATCAAAATGTTTATTGTGTATATGTATATCAGATTATGTAAGCACTCTGATTATATCAATTTTATACAGTAATAAAACCGTATATGTACACTCATTTAGATTTTATTATATAGATAGAAAATAGTGTTACAATATAAAAATTTTGTTTTAAGGTGAAATCTTAAATTGATACTATCAAATAAAAATGTTTAATTACGTATATGCCGTTTAGGAATTTCATTTTTATATAAAGTAACAGCCTATACATGTCCCACTGCTGGGCAAAGGCCTCCTCTATACAGAGGGTATCCGGGCATAGTCCACCACGCGGCCCCACTGCGGATTGGCGGACTTCACATATCTTCGAAATATATTTTTTAAATATGCAGGTTTCCTCGGAGCGGAGCACGTGATGACTCAGCACTTAAAGTTAAAAACTTCATTGGTGCCGGCACCGGGGATCGAACCCAGGTTGCTCGAGTATATTGAATTAAAGGCGAGCGCCCGGACACTGAGCTATCACGGCTCACTGAGCTATCACAGCTCATTCATCATTTATATCATTTTTTATTTAATTTTATTTAATTTTTCTTCTAGTAATTAATAGAGTGGGATAAAAAGCTCCATAATACGGTTAATACCCAATAAGTATCGTTTTGAGTACTGTTTTGTAGCTACAATTTGCTCCATAAACTTAACATGGTTATGTTATGTACATGGAGTCAGGTAATAAGGGTACGGGAGCTCGCGCCTGCCTAAATATTTAATCTCGCTTCATACGAGAAACGATGTGAGATTATTGATCGCTCGTTTCTCTACTACATCTACGCACCAAAATCAGTAAAAATACACCAAAAATACAATTATTTATTAATAATTAATTTACTGCTATACTTTTAAGGACTTAACTCGTTGCCTATAAGTACCTGTAACCTGTAAAAGATAAGAGATAAGCAGAGAGGTAGCCGGAGCCCAATTTTCAAAAGGTTGTCAACGCATCTGTAACCCTCGAGTGTAGCAGATGTCCATGGGCGGCGGTATTCACTTAACATCAGGTGAACCGTCTGCTCGTTTGACAACTTTTCGCATAAAAAAAAAAAAGAAAAAAAGCAGAGAGATTTAGAAAATTTGAAATTCAAACCATATCGCTCCGTGAATACAGCTGGTGAGAACTGATTCTACCAAATTGATGTGCGTGACAAAAATGAAGTGAAAACGTACAGTGCTGGACTGCCAACCGTTAAGGTGGGATGGATGGTATTTGGTGACTTAACGCTTTGCATGGTGGTGAAACTCAGCAGTGGTATAGCTCAGAGCAGTCGCCGTGATAATTGTGATATAATATGTAAAGAGTGCTCGGAGAGCGATCGGGGAGGAACTGGTCGCTGACGTTGCGAGCAGCTCTATATTAGATATGGTCACACGGAATTAGCTGCTATTGAGATGAGAACGATATGAGATCAATATGTATATGTAATATCAATATTCCATGTGCTACCGAATCTGCTGTGTATAGAGCTGCAGGGGGTTAGATGGCAGAAAATACTGTGTAGCTCTACCTTTTTTTAAAAGCGAACTTAGCTTATGCGAAATTAAAAGTTGCTCAAAATGTCACGCCAATACTTACGAACGAATCAGGGACAACATGGGAAGTATCCTCAAAAAAAGAACATACGACTAAGTACTCTCTCTTGGCGCAAGCTTATGTCTTCTTGTAGTTATCAATATACAACAACTTGTAGTAAGTTTAAGAACTTGATTTACTAACTCAGATTTTGCTTAAACAAACCTCGACTTGCGACACGGGTTTATCGGCGTATTTCTGAGAAATGTTTGCCAAGACCGTATACATAATTGGTTGGGGAAAAAGTTTCTTCGCATTTTATATGAAAATTCAAAACATTTTTAATAAATTTTATTTTCATTTAACTAAAGTATGTAGGTACCATTTTGTAACGATTACTTTCTACCATCTTGTAGGTAGGTACATGATCCTATTTTTATAGAATTTCTGGGGCTTCTGATCACAAAACCGCGACAAGTGGTTTTGACAGTTCTCTCGTGATGTTAACCTGACACTGCCTAAAGAATTCTCTTCTGAATAAATTTTGAATATAGAAAATAATTATATAATACAATAGGAGATAAGGATTTTGGCAATATCAACTCTCCGCTTCGGTTACAAAGGACAGGTGAAGGAGGTTCTTATCGAACGAAATGCAAAAGTATAGATATTCTTACTTAAAGCAAATCTTCTGTGCAGTCATAGTACAGCCCTGATGTTTGAAACAGCCCATTCAGCAATGGCTCTACCACTTAAAACATTGTTTTTTTTTAATTGGCAGAGCCTTGCTTATAACTTTTTAACTGTAATAAATAGAATAGTGATTTTAAATAGAATTTATTTAATGTAGTAAACTAAAGAGTTCTTGAACCGTTCATATCAACATCAGTTCTACATACTTTTTCAGACTTAATATTTGTATTAAAGTCGATACCGACATGTCTTATAACTGTCAGGACATGCAACAGCTTCTGGTGTTGCACGAATGGGCAGGTCCGTAAGGGGAATCACGACCTTACAGAAGACCGGCGTGAAGTAGAAGTTTTATACTTCTGCTTTTCGTCTGGCGAGTCAGGTAGCTGGGCCCCGCTTTATTAAAAGGTGTCAACGCATCTGCAACCCTACTGGTGTTGCAAATTTTCATGGGCGGCGGCCATCACTTAAAATCAGCTCGCTTGCCATCTCACAGAAAAAAACACGTCATTGGCTCTATTTATTCTAGTGTCTACTTTCATTTGAGACCACATATTTAAGTATGTTTATTGTGTATGTGTATGTATGAATATATGTATACACAGATATGTATGTATACGTACATGTAGGTATTACTTTAATTCATTACCCCGTTATTATATGCATAGCGCTTACCGCCCTAGTCATTCTATTTCCATTTTGTCTACGTTTAGTTGGTTGAGAATGCAGTACATTTATCTCGCCTTTGTAATGCAGACAAACAATCTAACTACCTAACCCACATGCCAGCAAATATAGTATTAATGATAGATTATATTATATTATGTATATATGTCTTGTTATCATTCACTGTCATGAGAATGTTGAACAGTCCACTTTAAATATGAACAAGCTGCTCAGCGCGTGCTCTAGTGGTTGGCAGAGAAAATGTTTGTTTTTTTTTTCTTCGTTCCAAGAGAACAGTATCTCTCAACGTGTGATCGAAACAATGCGCAGTTTTTTGCATGAGCAGCTGGAATATTATTTGTTATTATATTTAATCGGTATGGATATAAAAACAATAAACTATCCATTGTTACGAACAAGGAACTATTATCGGGATGATATACCAGATTCGAATTTCATTTCAAATTTGAATCTAGTATATCATCCCGATAAAACCCTAGTTCCTTTCATACTGCCTTCTTTAAGGCAATAAAGCGGTTAGGAGATTGTTAAAAATACTTATTGTTTAAAAAATAAACCTTTGATTAGTTTTTTTTTATGAAAGAAGATGGCAAGGTAGCGGTTCACCTGATGTTAATTGATAACCGCCGCCCATGCAAATTTGCAACAGAAAATGTAGAGTTACACATGCGTTGCCATCTATAAATGAAGAGGGCGCCGGTTACTTCACCCACAAGTAAAAACGAGAAGTACTTCCCCGGACGGGCCTGCCCATTCAGCGAAGACTGCTGCCTGACTCTACCACAGTATACTGTACACAGTACTGTGGTAAGTACACAGTATAGTATAAATTTGGTTAACAGCGTTAGGTATTTGGCATCAGCTCCATAATATATTACTTACGTCAAAATTCTTTCTGCAGTATCTCTTACCAAATCTATCTCATCATCATCATCATCCTCCTGCCCTTATCCCACCTAGGTTCGGCCGGCACAACATATAAATCATATTGTAAACGGTTTGGGCTATGTTTTTTACTACCGGCCGCCTGCCTGACATCAACCCTCCTTGGGAAACAAACACCCAGATCCGCAACAATTATTTGTGTTGTCAAACAAATACTTGTCCCGTATGGGAATCGAACCCACGAACTTCGACGCCGAAGCCAATAGCTTAGAAAATCTATCTGTAGATAGAATATTTAAACCAGCTGTTATTGGTAAATTACTTATAACTCTCAATTATGTTCAATAGTGATAGTGACCCAGCGGCTAAATCGACGGGCGTTCAAATTATAGTAATATTGTTCCGTTTTCTATTTATCTTTTGAGCTGAAATTAGCGTTAGGCACGCAGACTAATTAACTTTCTCAATTCAGACCATTTGGTTAAGAAAAAGACTGATAGGTTTTTTTTTTATTGCAAATAATATTCTGCATATTTATCCGTAATATTCATACTTCATATTTTAATCAGTAAACCTTCTTCTTTTTCGAAGCATTTTTTACGGAAAGCAAAATTTTTACATAATAAATAATTGATATACCTACTTAAAAATTTTGTCATCACATTCCCGTAGGCAAAGTCGTGAAGAAAGCCTCTATGTTTTGTTAATGATGTAAAGTACGCCAAACATATATGCTATAACATTACAGCAGCATATGTTAAATAGCGAAGGAGGATGTTAGCTTGTTACAAAATAAAGCGATGACATAGGTATGTGCATGTAGAAATCGTGCTTATCATGCTCAATGTGCATGAAGAAATTGTAATTAGTTGTGTGTAAACTATGTTAAAAATCGGGTAAGGCAGTTACAGGAAACAGTCAGTTTTTTCTGTGGTACAGCAACAGGTTACAAAATTGTTCCCCCAGGTACGAAGTTTCCCTAGGCCCTCTAACGAAACTACTAAAGACCAGTTGAGTAAAAAAAAGGTGCGAGTGTCTTAATGTATAAATTCTTACTAGTGATCGCCCAGTGGCCGAATGTAATTTTTTAATGTAGTTTTTATGCAAAATTTAAAAAAATATTAGCATTCTGCGCTCCTTCTCTTTATAAACTACTAGCCGCTGCCCGCGACTTCGTCTGCGTAAAATAGGCTGAAGGCGTAACATTCAGATAGAAAGACAGATATACATATATGTATATAAATTTTAGCCCATGTCTTATTCTGATGTATAAGCTATATTATTGTAAAGTTTCATTAAAATCCATTCAGTAGTATTTGTGTGAAAGAGTAATAAACATCTATCCATACATACAAACTATCGCTTATTATAATATTATTAAGGATAAATGTGGGAAGTTTCATACAGTTCCTCCTTCCGCGCAATTTTCGTAAAAAGGGGTACAAAGTTTTTGCTTGACGTATTAATATATAGATATAAATTAGGTAACAAAGCATTATGCAAATGGCGCCACTGTTTTTTCTCTTAATTATTTATTATATAATTTATTTAATTTTTCATATAGGCTGGTTATATATATATATGCATAATTCTTTTATCCTAGAAAGACAGATCTAATATATATACTCTACCTAAACCACGGCCGCAAAGTTTTTAAAAGAAACCTGTTTCTATAAATCAGTGGGCGGGTAACTGACTAGCTACCATGGCCGTCCGGAAATAAATCGTGCAGTATTAAAATCAAGATTAATAATGTAAGGTACAAAAGCACGGTGGTCTGTACTTTTGTATGTTATACTATATACTAATGCATAAATGAATTAAACCGGGATTATTATTAGTGTTGCTTTTTCCACATGAATTTTATTTCATAAAAATTAAAAGTCTAACAAAAATGGTTGGTTAGTCTTAATATTGATTAAAATCATCTACGATGTTAATTTTTTTGGATTATGAATAACAAGATTTTAAAGCTTATCATAAAGCGCTTCGGTTGAGACAGTAAGATTTACATGAAAAGTGATGGAATTTTAATTGCCTGTAAACTGTATGACGCTTACCTTAACATTATAAGATATTTAAATTTCGTATTTAAACAGTATGCATGATGTTTATAAAATAAGGATACAAATCTCACTCGTTATTTAAAATCAAGTACAATCTTTCTCATCATAAAGTTTGATGTTAATGAATAAAAATTATATTATTTGTAAAAATAAACTATAGTACCTACTTGGTAGGTGGCTCATTGTGTTATTTTTACATACAAATGTCATAATGTATAATTAAAGCAAATACCATTTTTGCTGATAAATTTCAAAGCGGACTTTTAATCTCAGTTCAAAATTATAAGAAAAACCTCTAAGAAGGGTTGAAATTTTTTGAAACTCGTTCTCGTTTGAATCTATGTGAAGTTTTGACAACTCCTTTTGAAAATGTCATAAATCCTACACTTACATATATTATACCATGTACAACAATTAATGTAAATATTTTAAAGTTTAAATACAATAATCAATATAAACATGCCGTGAGTATATTTTGATAATCTATCTATCTAAGTGCTTGGCGGTGAAGGAAAACATCTTGAGGAAACCTGCATATTTTCGGAATAATAAAAAAAATATTTCGAAAATAATTGAAGTCTGCCAATCTGCAGTAGGGCCGCGTGGTGGACTATGCCCTGATACCCTCTGTACAAAGGGGGGTAAAGGTAAATAACTTTAACTCCGGCGTAATTCAAATCAAATAAATTTTAAACGATAGAGATAAATCTCTAATGAATTAATCAACAAGCAGAATTCGGCGGTCGCTTATAGTTTTCGAGAAAAAAAATATTTAAAACTTGTTTTTTGTACTAAGAAATCCACCATTTTATTTGTTTGACTTCAAAAACTCAAAGCGGGCGACATCATATATTCCGATTTTTTTTTAATTTAATGAGTCACAGAACCGACACAGAGCGAATCCGACTCGGATAGATTAGGTTAGAAGGTTCAGGCGGGAGCAGAGCTCCCGCCTTAACCTTCGATGTTAGGGTTTTTTTTATGACCACCAAGAAATATGAGCTGAATTGAGATATTGACAACAAAAAAAACTTTTTAAAAATACTCACATTTTTATATCATCGGCGGGTAGAGGACACTCACATTCTTCCAGAAATGGTGCAAACGTTCTCCAGGTTCGGGGAAAATTTTATGAACTCCATGACGACACAAAAAATTAAAAAGGACTAAACGATCTGATTCTGATTTGAATAAAATTTTATAAAAAGAATAAAAAATTAAATTACAATATGTACATAAAATATCACTACTACTAGTAGACGCACACATATTATCCGTCATTGCAAATACGAATAACCACTATTCTATTGTTTTTAAACAATGAGCGGGAAATACTTCCAGTTTAAATTTAACATACGATTAGGCGCCGAAAAAATTATATGCAGCCAATATACTAATATCGATTTTGAAACTCGATTACAAATTTTATTAAATCTTGGTTAAAAGCCCTTAACTTATTAAAAACTAAATATCAATGTATTATAAACTAAATATAATAATGAAATTACATTTTTTATATTACTTATTTTTATTTATTTTCATTACAAAGCTTTTAAAATCTTCATCCTTAACTTATTTGTTGTTTTATGTAAAAAATAATAAATATTCAAAATTAATTACTTTATAAAGTTTGACTCTTCCACGTGCTTCGCCAGAACACTCGCTATGTCGACCTCCGACGCGAGGTTCCGGCTCCGCCTTATTATGTTCACTCTAGGGGTAGGGACCACAAGACCACATGGAGTCGGGGTGCTCTGTGTCGGATCTGGGACTCATTTTGAACCTTATCTAATCGGAAAAGGGTCCGTGATAAATTAAAAAGATGCAACCATAAACCTAATCAATCAGTAAATAAATGTTAAACCTAATTTAGCTTATTTCACAGTAATTTAAATTGTAAAAAAATGTAATCGATTTATAATCGATATAAAATTTTAAAAAATGTCCATAATATTTCAATATGAATAACGTTGGTTTATTTGGTATTGGCGCCTAATATTTAAGAGTTTTCTTGGATTATAACCTAAACTATATTTGATTATTAACATTTCTCTATCGATTAAAATTTTTTTCGAGTCGGAAAATGAGACAAAATTAATGGAATAATAGCTAGGACATGACGTCGCCCGCTTCCTATATTCATCATGTTGGCAGAACTGTGTATTAATTACGTTGGCGAATGGCGGACTTTGTTAGTGAAAATACCAAGTTTTAAATATTTATTTCTCGAAAACTATAAGCGACCGCCGAATTCTGCTTGTTGATTAATTCATTAGTGATCCCTCTATATCGTTTAAAATTTATTTCAATTGAATTACGCCGGAGTTAAAGTTATTTACATTTACCCAAAGGGGGCCTTTGCCCAGCAGTGGGACTTTTATAGGCTGTTACTTTGTTACTTTAATCTATGTTCTGAATTATGACTTTTATTATTATCCTTAAATCTCAAAATCACCTACCTACTATGCCCCAAATAGTGCGTTTCTATTTCTTCAGAATAACAAAATTAACGTTTCTTCGTATACGGTCCTGCGGTTAAATGTCGCCCGCAAATGACCTTCGACTCGGAACGTGCCAATCTCAGCCGGTGCTCACTTTCAAACAAACACGTCTATCTATATTGAACAGCAACAAATGTACGAGTAAATAAGCTTATTGTGATCACTTTAGATGCCTATTCAATTCACATATGACATTGGCAAAAGTATAATATCAAACATCACGGGATAAGGTTTTGAATTATCCACAGATAATTACTCTGGGTTTGGGTATTTATTCCCAAGGAGGCTTAACGCTAAGCAAGCGGCTGTTTGTAATAAAGAACCTAGCCAATACCATTAACAACATCGTTATTCATTTACGTATTGTGCCGACCCTACCTAGATGGAATAAGATCAGGAGAGAGAAGAATTGAAGTTATTCCCTCTTTCATTGCAGAGATACCGAATCCTCATGGAGAAGACCGGTCAACTGGAAAACTCGCTACTCAAAGTTATATTCTTCGCCAAAAATTTCGCTGTAAGCATAAATAACATTTTATGTTTATTTTAACTCAACAACGCCAGCCACATTACTATTCAACTTATTACTGTTTTAAAAAACCAAGCTGGAACATTTTTTATGTACAGCTATAACATTCCGTTCATATAACAAACAAAAATAAAACAGATTACAAAAAACATTGTAATTTCAAAAAAAGGGCATAAAAAGGCGTGCAGTTGCATAATTTTTAGTCCATTTGTTATTAAGAGAAACTCGAAATAAGTCGGTCATCAAGGTCTATAGGGGCGTACTTTTTATCTTGCAACAGCCGAATGTACAGTCGACCAAATGGTGACTCACTTATCGTGATTCACAGATGCCGAGAAAAAGTCAACAAGCTATGACTACGGACAACGATGTTTTACTTTCGTATTGGGCAAAAAGACTAACGAATATTGTTTGTGTGCTTTGCTTGAGAAGTCACATTCATCAATATTAACTACCTTACCAAGATTTTATGTAGTCTGGAATAATTTTTCATTTTTATAATATTTCGCGGAACCAAAAGCTTCCTTAAGAAACTGTAACGTACAACTTACCCAAGTTATTGTTTTTTAATTTGTTGTTATAAATTGTTCTCTAGTTTGGTTTATTATAAATATCACGTACTGTGGTAATTTGTTCGTTTTTCAATAACCAAAATGAAAAAAAAAAATCGTTGAAAGCTCCTGGTAGCTTCTCATTAATATACTGTGTATTAACTCGACAGACGTCCAAAGGAAGAAAATGCTGGTCGAATCTCGTTCATGAGCAAGGACAAAGATCCGTACTCCATGCTTCTACGAAGGATCAGGGCGTTCGAAAGCAAGGAAAGCCCTGACGAGAATTCGTCCCCGCAAGCCCTTTCCTCATTAACGTCTGCTCTTAATGAATTATACAACTCTACCGAAAGCAGCAGACAGTATGTCGAATTGTTTTCTTTGTACATAGTTACATTTACATTTACATACATTACATGTTACATTTACTTACATTTACTAGGCCACTTTGAATTTATGTAACGTATACTCTCTTTTAATTATTATGATTCATGTTTGTTATTTTTGTAACTTTTTTAACACTTTAAAACTTAACACTAGGTGGATGAATAATCGTAATATAAAACAATAAAAAAAATTCAACATTATTTATTTTATTTAAACGCATATTACAAGTATGAGATTAATATTATATAAATAGCTCACGTTACCGCATAATCGTTTATTGGATTATATTTGTTTACATAATTTTAATAACTCCGCTTAAGTATTGTACAAGTGGAATAATTTCCTTGCTAATAGTTTTTTATCACGATTGACGCACCTATACTTTGTAGTGAGGTGCTTAACGGTGAAAAAAACATCGTGAAACATGCATATATTCAAAATACGAACAAAAAATATTTCAAAGATATGTGAACTCTGCCAGCCCGGAATTGTCCGCGTGGTAGAATATGTCATAATTAATACCTTGTGCAGAAATAATGCCTTTGTTCAGCATTGGGACATATAAACAATATTCGTTATACTGTTACTTTATTTTACTTTAAGTGAACCGCCTGCTTGCTTGCCTACTTTTCACATTAAAATTTCCCTTTACTCATCTCCTCTACAACTACAAAGCTAAACTTCGAAAAGAAAGTTTTGATTTTTTATATAATTATCATGTGTAATGGTAATGTTGATGCAGTATTTTTCGTAGTCCTTTAATCTAGTCCACAAACACCAATATAATTTACGTTCCACAGTAAAACAGGTATGAACATAAACCAGTTCCCAGCAGGTACTTGTACAATTACTTGCGCTGGCTTACACCGATAATCTCGATTTCAGCATGGAGATATATATAAATGTGCAGCGTACATCATTAAAAAGTAAAGACCTTCGAACGCTTTTGTGTTGTATTATTAGTTAATCAACGATAGAGCGCTACCTACGGCCGGTATCAATATTCTATACATCTGAAAATTGAGTTACAAGAGACAAATATTTGACATTAGCTCTATAATACTTACATCAAAATTCTATCTCCAGTAACCCAATCTCCAAATTGATGCGTTGTGACGATACCTGTGTGTAATACTTGACCTTAAGATATTACCGATGCATATAGACATCTACTTCCTTTCAGACTTCACTTTTCAGATGCGTTGCCTACTTTGAAAATATTTGCCCCCGGTTGCCGCACTAACTGGACGCAACGTAAAAGAATAATACCATCATTTCACACCGATCTTCCGTGAAACTCTGGTCATTACACGGACAAGCCTGACAGTCGGCAGAAGGAGGGATTTATAACAATCGCAAAACAAAGCACTCGTTCGCCTTGTAGTCAGTATCAGCAGCACTTATCTTGGTACTCCAAAACTCATATTGGGACCAAAACCATATACAAATATTTGTTCGGGTGCAACTGGACGCTGGATGCGGTGAAGGGATGAGCCGGCGCATTCACGCAGTAACAGAAACTGTTGCCTGGCACTCAATAAAAATCTGTATTTGAGTGTTTTTTAACCGACTTCAAAAGGAGGAAGGGTTCTCAATTCGATAGTATTTTTTTATGTTGTTACCTCAGAACTTTTGACTGAGTCAACCGATTTTGATAACCCTTTTTTTATTTGAAAGCTGGTGCTTCCCATGTGGTCCCATGTTAATTTCATTGGCATTGGATCTTGGGCTCCGGAGATACCTAGCGAACTCCTGAAAATCAATTATGAAATGAATACAGAGCGAGATATTCGAAGACGGTTTTGTTTTCCGTTAGTAAAACAAGGTTATCTTCGGTACTGATACCTTATTTGATACTTTGCGACGTCCTATTTTCTTTCAGGTCGGATTTAGGAGTTCATGAAACATTATTATTAAATTTGGTACGTATGCGGAGCTCCGACACTCGAGAAGCACAAGACAGGGCATCGGAAGAATCAAAAAAACGTGATACCGAGTCAGAAGAGTGCGTATATTTGTTTTAAATCAATTTATTCAAAACAATTGACTAGAATTTGAATTAAAATAATAGGACAGGTATTATTTTAGCCTACGAGTATCAACAGCATTAACCCCACACATTGGCACGTATAGTCTCTCTTCGCGAAAGCGTAGACACATAGCGGCGTTATAAAACAATTTAAAAATCTTGTAAAAACATTTTCTTCAATATTGTAAGTTATAATCAGTTACATAATCAAGTTCGAACAAAAACTCTTCTTATACTCCTACTAACTCTACTTAAACTCTCCTTGTAATTTATTTGATAATTTAACATTTTATAACTTTCTTACACGTTTAAAAAATATAGACAGCAGATACAATAACTAATAACTCTTCTGAAAAGAGAAAATTCGACGGAAAATATCGGTAGACGTAATAAACTTTGAAATCCCAATGAAGTGGCAATGGGCCGACCACTTTTATCGAGTCAGATAACAGTCGGAGAAGTCTTAGAATGTAAACTACAAATGGGAAGATAAGGTGTAAATCGCCCACTCAAAAAGCTAAGGACCGCATATAGTTTGGAAAAGCGTATATCCAACAATGGATATCCAACAATGTTGAGCATAATGATGATTTGTGATGAATTATTATAATTATAGTATTAAAGTATAAATTAGAAGATATTGCATTTAATCCCTGCCAAAATTTTATGATGTCCAGACAGAGACATATTAAAGATTCCACTGTATATCGTGTATATATAAGTAAAATGCCTAGCTTTTACTTGCAGCATCGTCAACGAGGTTCTTTTCGAAATGACACATAGAGGTGACATTGATAATTATACATCTATTATAATATATAATTAGGGACGACCCCCCCGAGTGACGACCAGGATCGTGCTTCGTGGCAGACTTTGGAGGAGGCCTGTTTGTAATAAAGTAGATTTTCCTTCGGGTTGTACTTTGTAATTAAACATATGCTTTGCTCAACGATCTATTTGACACTAAAGACATCACATTACAAATACAAAGTATGTTTAGAAGTGGACTCTAAGAGCCTAAAATGAGGATGATGATGATTGTGATATAATTAGTTACTTCATCTCTTTGTGTCACAGTGAAAGAAGCGAACCCTGCGCCCACGGCTACAGCACGCGCATGACGGACCGCAGTATTTCGCGCTCCCGGTTTTCCAGAGTTTCAACGCGTCGAGATATGGATATCCCGTCAATATTGGCGTTCACCGCAACGATTCCTATACCGGTTACAAACCATGTCACGCGCTCTTAACAAAACAGACTACGATCGACCACAGACTTGCAATTCAACAGTACTCCAATAGTTGGGAATGTCTCTACTGCTGAAGGAAAATCCAGATGGCGCTGCGATCGAGGGTTACATTAACAAAATCTATACATTTTACTCCTATAACATGTAATGTACTCCATGTTGTTTTCAAAAGTCAAATTTATAGAAAATATGGACGTGTAAACAGCCATTTCGGTTCGGGTAATGGCCACGGTCTTTGATGCACTTATTATGTAATGTCCAAAGGCCTTTTGAAAAAGAAACTGATAAAATAAGCAAAATATTTTGCTTTTGTGATAAATATCTTTAACCTAGTAAGGATTATTACAATAAAAAGTAAAGTAAAGAGACTACCTACATTTGTCCCACTACTGGGCAAAGGCCAGAGAGTATTAGGCATAGTCCACCACGCGACCTTACTACAGATAGCAGACTTCACATATCTTCGAACTAGTTTTTTTTAATTATTATTTTGAAAATTGCAGTTTCCTCACTATGTTTTTTTTCACCACTGATCACGTTTATGTCAGCATTTAAATTTGCAATTAACAAATTCATTGGTGCCGGCATCATCATTGGTAATTGAACTCGGGTTGATAGTCAAGTAGGTTGTTGAATTATAAGCGAGCGTCTGGATACTGAGCCATCACAATTCAAATAAAAAAATATTATATGAGGGTAATATCTGAAACTCCGCCGTATTTACAAGCTTTTATTTTAAATTGGTAATTGGTATTCTGACTCGACGTACAAACGAAACTAGAATTTGCAGATTTATAAAATTGCTCTCTTGATCTATACAGATCTATGAAATTGCTCTCTTGATACATATATCTTGCTCATCTATAAAACGATTAATTTATTTAAGGAAGAGCAACCAGGGCTACCTGCTTTTCAAAGAGTCTCGGCGCCGCAGTCTCAAGAAATACCAAAATGGTCCATTCGCCGCTCCGTCTGTCCTGTATGTTCACAAAAGTGGAAAGATCGAAGTTCATTGGCCAATATAAAATATTCTGGTAACTTTGTGAAGAAATAATATTTGTAATTTTATATAGAGTCGGTACTTCATCATCATCATCATCATTTCAGCCTGTTTGAGTCCACTGCTGAACATAGGCCTCCCCCACAGACTGCCACGAAGTTCGATCCTGAGCCTCCTGCATCCATCGACTTCCCGTACATTTGCACAGGTCGTCACTCCATCTAGTGGGGGGTCGTCCCAAACTGCGATGGCCAGTACGAGGCTGCCACTCGATACTTATTTCTTTAAAATTCATGTAATTATATGCATTTTGATATCAGGACTAAAACGAAACTCTGCGCTGGAACTGCCGTCCGTTACTGCGCCAGCTCGATTGAAAACGTCTATCGCCCGAGAATAGTTAGCAAAACCTATACTATTATTTTTAAAATTCACCTCATATATATGAAAATTTAAGTCACTTATCATAAGCCTAACAATAATTAGATACTGATAATGTGTCATCCAAATAATTACAATAATAACAATACTTGGTTAACTTTGTTTTTTTTTTGTCACAACCCTTAAACTATCAAGCCTTCATCGAACGCAGATCTCGTCAGATAGTCGAGTTTGACACGGTGCTCCGCGTTGGGTAAGGGCGAGCATGTGCCCATGCGTGCGTTATCTGTGGGTAGAATATAACTCACTGGCCGATGAGGTTGGCCGATTGCCGTTCAATGTATTAATCGTTGGTTGGGGCGGTGAGAAGCGCCCTAGAACGCGGGTGTAACTTGTGTACGCGTATGTATTCATTTCACCGTGCTCGTAGGCACGATAAAACTAATTGGTTATATAGGATTGGTTAGTTAGAACTATGGGTATAGTGTTACCTAGTAGGACCGTTCTACATATATGTACTACACAGAATAATTCGTTTCAGTTAACTAATATATTTCTTAAATGAATATGTTAAAATAACCAAGGAAAACGGATTATAATATATTAATATGCATTTTCTATATCAATAGTAATTACTACATTATAATCCGTCAAATATAAGAACTTAATGTTCACATTGACGTTGACATTTTACATTTTTCTTGTCGGCGTAACTTTGTTCACTCTGTCTCGTATACACACGATATAAAGCAATTAAATCTTTAATACATAATAGAATTTAAGCAATAAAATTGTGAATTTTATTGTACATTGTTACACCATGTAACATTCCAATACAATTATTTTAATTTGTGTCATGTTAAATTAGGAGAACAGTTCAAATTATGAGGAGTTTATCGAAATTTTACCTATTATATTTGACATAACAGAATGGTCTTATTGCAATAGCAACTTAGCCTTTGAATTACTTTGGCATGGACAAATAAATTTGCTTTCCTCACGTGCATTAATCATTCTCATAACTCTTTTTCATTAATCATTTTCACAACCACATGTCACTTAACATTTGCTTATGAACAATCCAGAAAAACATTGAGTTTTCTTTTTTTTTCTTATATATAGAATAGCATTTCTGTATTCCTATAGTACATAACTATTAACCTTATGTACTTTTAATTACAGCGCACCCCGTCCACTGTCACCAGAAGATAAAGACCGAAACTTGTCCCGCAGTAGCTTTCGGAACACGAGCGCATCATGGCAACTAGTGAGAGCACGCAGGCTCCGTATGCCGAAGTCGGTATTGCCTTCCGAGGAAACAGTCGCACCAACTTCATCAGCTCTGCGTGCCAGAATAGATTTAGAGCGACGAGTGCAAAAGTTTTTATCGAACGACCAGGACTAAATTGTTCTCAACACTATTTTTGTAACATCTACGTATTAAATTAACATCGAATAATACATTATTTTATTTGTTTTTCTACATATTAATACGCAAAACGAGAACTTTGGATCCCTTTTTAGGAATATCACACACACGTGTGATTTTGCATAGTTAGTGTATATATTTTTGTTGATTGCATTTATTATTCATCACAATTTTTATTGTTAAGAATAAAGGAATAATAACATAGGGAAAAGTTAAAGGTACACATGTGACGTAAAGCCGTGTCCCTTTCCTTTATTCTGTTTTTTGTTGGGGGTAATCCCGTGTTATAGGCCAATTTTTAATCGCTTATGTCGTGTTTTTATTTTTATTAAATAGCAAACCTGCATACGTTCATTTGATAATCACTACTGATTATTTCCGTGAATCTTGTGTTTTCATAAATGATTAATTCTCATTAATTACTTCTATAATAATTTCTTGACTTTATGCGATTACACATTACTAAAGGAAACTATGTTTACGGATTTATCACGTTTATTTTTAATTTTAATTCCCGACGTTTCAAACCCCTTAAAGCGTTCATGGTCACGGGACAGACTGAGGCGTTAGACGTCTAAATATCATAGTAAACCTGCGCTACCGTCAGTTCTTAAATTATTAATTTTGTGTTCGATCTACCCAGAATGAACGAATTTTAGCAGCAGTGGTTCTCTATTGAAATTAAAGAAAATTAATAACTGAAGACAATGATTAAGAAGCTCGCACATCTGCAACCATCTTTGGTCAATCAGTCATCCCCGCTTCTCCTACATGACAAAGCGCGACCCAATATTGCACAACAGACAGTCTCTAAGCCGCAAGAGATGGGGTTGGAAGCTCCCCCTCATACGCCATACTCACCAGCCCTTGCACCTACCGACTATTGCTTTTTCAAAAAGTACAATTGTTTAGCGGGGGTAAAAAAATCAATACCCGAGAAGCTATACAAAATGCCCTTGAAGAGTTTATTGCCTCCCGTCCAGCTGATTTTTACAAGAAGGGCATCAATAATAATTTACTACCGCGTTGGCCAAGATGCATCGATTGCATGAGTGATTATTCTGAATATCAGAAATAAAAAAGTTGAATAAAAAAATAGTTTCCATACAGAACAGCAATTTCATTGGTAAAGGCCTAATATATATCTAATATACATATTTATTAACAAAAGAATTATCTAAGAAAGTATGTAAAAGTAAAGTCTCTCATCAGCCTTTATTTGAATTGTTGGCTCGTTTATTTTTCTAATAAAAAAACGGGCCAAGTGCGAGTCGCACTTGCGCACGACAGGCTCCGCACCATTATATAAAAGTAAAAAAGTAAAGTAACAGCCTATACATGTCCCACTGCTGGGCAAAGGCCTCCCCTGTACAGAGGGTATCAGGGCATAGTCCATCACGCGGCCCCACTGCGGATTGGCGTGCGTTACATATCTTCGAAATATTTTTTTTTGTTATTATTTCGAAAATATGCAGGTTTCCTCGGAGCGGAGCACGTGATGACTCAGCACTTAAAGTTAAAAACTTCATTGGTGCCGGCACCGGGGATCGAACCCAGGTTGCTCGAGTATATTGAATTAAAGGCGAGCGCCCGGACACTGAGCTATCACGGCTAGAACTTTCTAGTGTATTAGGTGACTGATAAACATACTTGTACATAAGTATGTATGCAAACATACTTGTACATACATAAGTATGTACAAGTATGTTTATCAGTCACCTAACACACATTGTACAAACTTTACTTAGTTTGGGATCGTTTGTAATGAAAATATTTATAAAATTTATTCTTTCTTTTTACATTACAAATAATTTCTTATATACTATTATTATATTAACTTTCATTACTTCTATAACCGATAATTAATGGTTTTAAGAAAATAAAAAGTAAATTAAAAAATTACTGACAGCCCGTTTTTCACTGGCAATTTAAGCAGGTCCTTATTGACATCTAGTTATCACCATAATTTTCAAAAACAATCTGTCTTTTTCATAAATATCTGTCGTTCCTTACAATAAATTTTAACTGTAATAGACAAAATTAAACAATATTTAATACGAAATAGTTTATAACTATAATAATGTCTCATTTGCACTGGACCAAAAACATGTTATCAACGATCACGAGATTTAATCAACACCCTACAAATTTAAAAAGTTTTGTCAGAAATTTGATGTCTAGACAACTTATATACAGTGAATTTGGTGACCCAACAAAAGTTGTTAAACTCAGAGAATGTGAAGTGCCTCCTCTTGGCAGCCAGGAAATATTGGTGCGCATGCTAGCAGCACCGATAAATCCAGCAGATATTAACACTATTCAAGGTATTTATAAAATGTATGCAATATTCTCTCACAGTTCCTAATATTATTGGTTTTGTGATGAAGATCTAAAGAAGGTAGCGCTCAAAAGGTATTTTCAATTAGATCTTTTGTATGTAATTTCTAATAATTCCTGACAGTACAATGTGAGACTTTTTATTCATTTTCAGGTAAGTATCCAGTGAAAGTCAGCCTCCCAAGCATACCCGGAAATGAAGGTGTGGGTATTGTAGAAGAAATTGGCAAAGAAGTTAAAGGAATCTGTCCTGGAAATAAAGTTATTGTTACAAAACCAGTTCAAGGGACCTGGAGGAATATTGGTACATTTAATCAAGAAGTTTTAAAGGTTATTCCAGAGAACTTAGGACTAGTTGAAGCTGCTACATTAACAGTAAACCCCTGTACTGCTTATAGGATGCTATTAGATTTTAAGCCTGTCAGAGATGGTCTTGTGGTAATACAAAACGGAGCCAACAGTGCATGTGGTCAAAATGTTATCCAAATGTGTAAAGCTTGGGGTGTTAAAAATATTAACATTGTACGAAATAGGCCTGAAATAGATAATTTAAAAGAATATTTAAGATGTTTAGGTGCTACTTTTGTATTAACAGAAGAAGAGTTACGTTCAACAAATATTTTTAAAGATAAACTAATAGAAAGACCATCTTTAGCCTTAAACTGTGTTGGAGGCAAAAGTTCCCTTGAGATGATTAGACATTTACAGCATTCAGGAAAAATGGTTACATATGGTGGGATGTCAAGGGAACCAGTTAATATACCTACCTCAGCATTTATTTTCAAAAATTTATCTTTTCATGGATTTTGGATGACAGCATGGAATGAAAAAGCAGAATTGAATGAAAAAAATAAAATGATGAATGACATCATATCTATGATGTGTGAAAACAACCTTAAAGGACCAATACATAAAATGGTAAAATTTGAAAATTATGAAGAAGCCTTGAGTCAAGCACTAACATTTCAAGGTTTCACAGGTTGTAAATACATTTTAGATTTTAACTGATAGGTTATTTACAATTATGCTTAGTTAAAAATGTAAAACAGTTTCAAATTTATTGAAAAAAAAAAAATTTATATTGTATATGGATGGAATAATAATAAAATGCTTACTAACAATTTTTTTTATTTCTATTATAATTTTTGTTTTAAGTATAAAACATGAATTTTGTAGATGAATAGATTTCGAGCAATGTCCAGTTATGCGGTCAATTGGAAAGTAAGCCCAAATTGGCTTTAAACATACTTAGTGTGCTCAGCAAGGCGAGGCAGTACTTCACGCCGGCTCAACGCCTAAATCTTTATAAGGCGCAAATTCGGCCCCACATGGAGTACTGATCTCATCTTTGGGTGGCAGCCTCCTATTACCAGCTTCTTCCATTTGACCGCATTCAATGTAGGGCAGCTAGGGTTGTCAGTCTTTCCGATCGGCTTAATCCTTTGGCTCTGTGTAGAGATGTTGGATCACTGCATTTTGCATCTATCACGAGGAGTGTTCCGAGGAATTGTTTGGATTGATCCCGGCGGCTAAATTTTACCATCGGACATTGCACCAAAACCAAAAATATCATCGACACCACCACAATGTCCAGCGTTCCACAACAACGTGATTTTCAATAAAAAAATAATGAATAGATTAGATAGATTTTTCTTCTTAAATAAATAGACTAGAATCGGTTTTGTCTTAAAATGATATGGATATTTAAGAAATAAAGAATAAAACCGTCAGAATCGCGCGCGAAATGTTTCATACAATTATCTATAAACACAGCAAAAAATATCATTTCTGTTGTATGGGAGCCCCATTTAAATATTTTTTTTATTTTGTTTTTGTTGTTATAGCAGTATCATCTGTGAAAATTGTCAACTATCACGTTTCATGAGATACTGCCTGGTGACAGACGGACAGACAGCAGAATCTTAGTAATAATGTCCCATTTTACCCTAATAAAATACCATGGTATCTAATCCTAATAACATACCAAATTTAGTAAAACATTTGAATAAGACTAAACTTTTGCTTTCAGGTAGAGGGTGTTGTTTGCCATATTTACCACATACACCTGGGGACGAAGGAGTTGGTGAAGTTGTAGAAATTGGTAGCCATGTTTCTGCTGTAAAGCCTGGCTGCAGAATTGTTTTGACATCTAGGCTTTTGGGAACATGGAGATATTATGGAGCATATCATGAAAGGGATGTTCATATTATATCCCCAATTGTACCTTTACCTGAAGCTTCAATGCTTACCTTGGCCCCATGTGAAGCTTTCAGGATGATTAAAGATTTCCGGAAAATGCATCCTGGAGATACAATTATTCAAAATGGAGCAAATAGTCCTTGTGGACAATGTGTTATTCAGCTTTGTAAAGCTTGGGATATCAACACTCTTAATATTGTTGCGAATTGCAATGGATATCAAGCTATGAAACAACATTTATTAAATCTAGGAGCAACTGCAGTGTATACCCTTGAAGAAGCTGAAGAATTATCATCTTTTGATACATCAGTATCACGCCCCGTTCTAGCGTTAAATTGTTTGGGAAATAGGTATGAAGACGTTTTGTTAAACTTATTGCAACGGTTTGGATCAGTAGTTTATTACGGTTGGGCATATGATTTACCATTGCTTAAGCAGAATAGACGCTGTGATGTAACATTTAATAAATTTCGTTTATGTGATTGGAGTTCCATTGCCACTAATATTCAAAAAAACACGATGTTGAATCAAATTTTACAGTTGATGGTGACTGGTAAATTAAAAGCGCCTCTATACGAACCCGTTCAGCTTAATGATTACATTCGTGGATTACAAAACACTTGTCCCTGTGAAGCCTTTTCGAAGATAAATTATGTATTTGATTTTACTGTGCCATAAAACATATTTAACGCCCTAAAAATAAGAATTTGGGAAAAAAGTAAATGTATATATTATAAAATCATCAGTATTCGACCATAATCATCAGTTACATGTCTGTTGCCAACATGCGAATAAAAAAGAGCACAGAATGTGCATGGCAGCATGGCTTGTCAAAACAAATTACAGCTGTTTCAACTGTCAATATGGTATTGGTTTGGTAACAGAGTAGAAGTACCTACTACATATTTGCCATTCTAAATCTGCTGGATTTTTTTCTTACATCTAAAAAGCATTAAAACATTAAATCGTGTGTTTTAAAATGATAATTAAACAATTTTCTAAGTCATGTGAAACGAATTTTTCGTAAATACGAGTTTTGTCTTCTCGTATATTGAAATATGTCGCTATTTTTTAACTTGAGATCGAAAATATGGATAAATCCTACGAGTCCTATGAATATATGAATACTGGTGACAATGAAAATAACCAATTCTTTGTTGTACAAAATGATGGTACATTTCTTAATAGTGAGTATTTGAAATTATATTATCATACATACAATCATTCGTATATTTTATGTGATTTATTCCTTATTAGCTTTTCGCCCGCGGCTCCGCCCTCATGAATCCGACTCGCATTTTACAGACCGCAATATATTGTTAACCAATATAGTTATATCCAATTCAACTGCAGCTATTATATAGCATTTTATCGCACGATTATTTAATGTGGTTCTTTAAATTGATATGACTTTTTTATTTACTAACCGATTTCAATAAAACTAACACTAAAAGTTGCACCCAAACCAGTTAAGCTATTTCTGAGATTAGTGCACGCACAGACACAAATTTTAACAAGCTTTGTATATACCCAATACCAGTTTTTTCTCAAATATCTTCCATGTACAGAAAACAATAATTTACATTTTTATTATACATATAGAAGATATATAATTACTATTTGTTTATTTTTGAAATAATATTTAATCTTATAACTCCCTTTTCGAAATTAAGGTAATCAAATTATTAGGTACATTGGAAATAATTTTATATTATTTTCATTTTAATGATAATTTTTTTAAGATGTTATTGAAAATAAAATGTTACTCAAATGTAAAGAAGGGCCATTTTATAATCCAACAATTAATTGTATATATATTTATTTGTGTTTAAATTTTTTTTATTTAATTTCAGTCAATAGACAGATACAATATGTGACACAGGTGCAAGATGCTAAAGAACTTCTAGAAAATGTGGAACCTTGCACAGTGTATGATGTTTCCTCTCAGCAGTTTTTTATAGATGTTGATAACTCGGCTGAATTAATCTCTGTATCTGGTATGTGCTATGTTCTATCTCAATATGTTATTACAGGTAGATAAAGTAGGGTGAATTTATTTTAATTATATTTCATGAATTTATGCAGAAATGCAAAACAATGAAACTTAAAAATCAACCTGACCCATTTAATGTAAAGTAAGTAAAGTATCAGCCTATATGTGTCCCGTTTAGATGTTTGTCATTTAAATACTATATAAATCAGTATATAAATCATTTAAACATTATTTTGATACACTTGTCATAATAATCCATTTGAACTGATTCTTAATAGTATCTATCATATGTATGAGCTTTTACAATCTTTTCAGACCAATTTATCTTGCCGGAGGGAGAGAATAATGTTTTTGCTAATAATTATCTTTTACCAGTGCCAAATTCAACTGAACAGGTAAATAATTAATGTAAATATGTATTGGTTTAAATTGTTTGGAGAATGTCATACTTATTTCTTGTGACGCATTTGAAAAAAAAAATGCGACAATAAAATTTTTACGACGCCGTGCACACTGACAGCCAAAAAGTGACATGAGGAAGTTAGTAGCAAAGCAAGCAATTTCACAGTATGACCGTGGCAACCGAAACCAACATTTTGACATTTACCTATAATTCTAATTTTATTGTTTGATTAAATCACTAGTTACCAATTTCATTTAATGTTTTTTTTTTTTCACAGACAGGGCACAGGGAATAAAGTTTTTAGTTATTTTACTTTTATTAGAAGTATAACTATTTTATTTGCATGTCTTACTTGCATACATAAGTACGCACATAATTCATTTTGATTTTTAATAAAATTTATTAAAAATCATTATATAATAATAATTTAAAGATATGTCACAAACTTTTTTATATAGTGCTCACTTTTAAATAACTCATGTTAATTTAATTGAAATCTCTGGTGGACTAAATGTTAAATGAACTTTTGTAAAGGGCACTGATATTTTACCACTAAAAGTTTAAAGAGATAACCAAATTTCATGTTTATTATATTAGTGCAATCATGTTATCTCCTTAACCATTTTTATACATTTATAATATTTTTCAGCTAGAAGCACAGGATACAGTGAATAGTTATCAAGGATCAGAAGCACAAGCAGAAGCCGAAGTTGAATCTCAATCTCAAAGCCAAATAGATTGTTGCACTGAGGTACAACCATTTTTATTTTTTAAGATTTATTTTGGTCATAAGAAATCGTAATATAAACTAGCCATTGTGGTGTAGGTTGTATGGTTTATAAAAAATAGTATGAAATCATCATTGTATTATAATTCAAAATATCTTTATTGAAACATCGAATTTTAAGTAATAATCGATGTATCAATTAAGTTCGTAAGTTACCACCGCTTCGGAAGGCACTTCCTGTTGAGAACAGACCAGCAAGAAACTCAACAGTTGCTGTTTTTTAAAAAATCAGATTACAATATAACATAGGTACAATGTTCTTATTTTAGCCAACATGAGTATCAATCAAAGTATTAAATCCGCACATTGGCGTCGTCGAAATATTACGCAATGGTGTAATATGCTTTAGCCATAAGTTTACTTATGTATATTGACTGGGATTTTATTATACATGCGCAAACTTTGCTCCATGAACAACCTATTTACTTTTTGTAGACGAAACAATGGTATGGTTTGTTTGTCATGTTGGTCATTGTCTTATATGGGTTATGTCGAACATACAAAATATTACAATAAATATATTGAGATGCAACAGTGAGTATATTAATATCCTTAAAAAGATTCCAGGTTATAGATTGCTCTGAATGTTTTATGCTATTGAAATGTATACATTTGTATGTTAATAAGTTAAAACTATCACTGTTTCAGATAACATTAAGTGATGAACAGTACCACACATTAGAACAAAAAGGTTGGATCCTTTTAGAAACAAATGAAAAAGTGTTTGTTCTTGATACATTGGGGCTTCATGACATAACTTCTAACAATAGTATGTTATGCAAACTACAATTTTTAATTATTTTAAAAGTTATTCTTTTATCTAATTGGTTAGCTTATCTTAATTTAGTTAAAATGATAATTAAATAATTTTTTGATTATTAAAACTGGATTTAAAAATCTATTTCTCTTAAATTTATTCTGTCCTATAAATTAGATATGCTGCAATATATTCACTTATAAACCATTAATATAATTAAATAAAAAATTGGTATAATTTTATTCGAATAAATGTCAGGATAGTGTCTCTAATAGTACAAAGAAAATGTGACTCAAATTATTTTCAGGGTTAATACAAAAATTGAAACAGGATGGTCAAAGAAGTAATGAGAATGCTGAATTAGAAAATAATACCAGGTATTTTTTTTATTCCATTATTTATTTAATTGTCTTTTATGCATCATGCGCACTAAATCTTACAATTTTAAATCAACTTTTTTTTTACTATATATTTTGTCAGTGCATTTGTCTGTACAATCATACTTTTGTTACTTGTTATTTGAAGAGAATTCATTACGAAATTCTATTCCAAACAGTTTATCAAACCAACAGGATACCATACAGTTTGTTATAGGCGAGGATGGTATAAAATTGGCTGAAGAAATAGTGCAAGATCATGGTACGCTTTTGGGCAACATTTACCAGGGTATGTGTTTGTTTATTTTTAATTCTTATAAAATTTATAACCCTTTTCTATTAACCAAATAAATCTCTTTCTAAGTCATAGTCAATGTCTGGAATTGAATATAAACTTTAAATAATTTTTTATTTTAGCTAAATCTTCTGAAACAACCAATGAGACTAAGCAAGTACCACATAAAGAAACTGTTGTGCCAAGTTCATTGAATGAGGGGCTATCAAATTCTACGACAGATAATAATACATTCAAAGTTATGACTGATATTGTTTTTAAAGGTAAGCTTATCATCTACCTTAACATTTGGAAGTTTTTTGAACACATTTGTTAAAATAGTGAATCAGAGGTGTTAACAAAAAATGCAAACAAAATTATTTTTATTACCAATTAAATAACCTAAGAAGTAAATAATATTTTCTCTATTGATGTAACATCCTAGACATTTATATTATTTATTATTTTTATGATACAAAATTATTTTTACTATAGTAAAATATGATTCGTTAAACTATCGAGTTTACATAATATTGGTGATCTTTGTGATAAATACCTGTATTTCACTACAGAGAGAAGAGAATCTTTGAGTAAGAATGTTTCGTCGCTATTTTTATTTAGGACCAATTATAGTTCGGGATGTTTGAGTACCTACATTTAATCAGTTGTAACGCTTCTATTCCCCATAATAGAAAAATCCTTCATTTTGCTCCAGAAATTCCAGAAAAAATACTTTTGGGTAAAACTGAAGACGGTAAGAAATTGTTTGCCAAAATTACGAAATTAGACGGAGGTAAAGCTAAAAGGGATATGGAAAATCAACGGAAAAATAATTTGAAACACATTCAAAAGGGAAAACAAAAATCAAGTGCTAACATTAAAAATGTTCAAGAAAGTCAACTCCGTAAGTCTAGTTTATAACTTTTTTTATAGTAATAGTATAAAATTATTAAATTAAATGCCATATTAATGAAACAAATTTTAAAGTGTGATATTTTTGGAGATAAATGTAAAAATATTTTCAAAGCACATTCAGAGACAAGCACTTAATGTAAACATTAATCCAAAAAAGAAATGGATCCTCAATAGCAAACATTTATTTTACTTTTCGTTTCTTATGAGATTTCATATGTTGTCTTATTTCATTTAACTAATAAAGTAAAAATGTCAAAATGTTTTCTGTCAGCCAGGCGATGGTATTAAATTTTTATTTTTAATCGTGTATGTTATACTTTGGCATGCTGTAAAACCTACTTTTTTACTGTTTTTAACCTTTTTTTAACGGGTTTAACCTTTTAACGGTTTTCATCATATGAGGTGTGAATATATTCATCTTAGCTGTGGGAGTAAAATAGGGCATAACACAGCCACAGCGGAGGGCCCAAACCCGTGGGTTCTGGCTAGCCCACCGGTTCTGTGTCAGATGAAGCTTTAATAGTCTTGGGACTGAAAGCAAAAACATCAGTTAATACAAGATACAAGGGCATAACAAGTCTGTCTGCGAAAAAAAAATGTTTCATTTATATTGTATATGTGTATGTTTTATAACTTAAGCTTGTTTAATATATGGTTTAAATCGTGAAAACTTTAAAACAGCAGGCTTTTATGGTATTTTACAGATAACGCGGGCCTCAATGAATCCCAATTTGAAACGCTCATCCGTTTAGCGATGCAGAACAGCGCCGAAGTGAAATGCACAGCGGAGGACGTGGCATCAGCCGACAGCATTGTTACACAATTGCTCAAAGTGCCCGCATTTAAACCTTCAGTTCTGGACAGAAATTTGATCATTACGAAAGTACGTTTCTAAAAATGTTTCTGTGTTACTGAATATACAAAAATTGACAGCTATGAAAAACTCTAGATATAGATTTTGAGTTCGATAAATAGTTAAGTATCTAGTTTTAGGACATCGCATTTTTCAACTGGATACCTCTAAATTTTCCTGAGGAGGACGGAGAACAAAGTGATGATCCTATAATGGATTTCATTTTACCGATACAGGTACGGAACTCTAAAACAAAATTAAATTCGTTCAATTTTTGTCTAATAATGTTTAGTTTTCGCGTATATACGAGTTAATACCAAGAAAGTATGCGTTTCTTAAATATTTATTATTCTTAAATAGGATAATTTACTCTGTCATTCTAAAACTCTAATACTACAGTGTGCAGGCGGACAATGTTTTTACTCATACCAATGCTGAAAAAACGAAGGAACCGTTTTACTTTGAATGATGTTTTTGCTAGCTTTTGTTCAACGTAGAGCGTGATTATTCGTCTTTTAGCACCCTCTTTTCGATTAGATTAGTCGGTGCGTTCACTTTGCATAAATTTTACTTGCTATATGTTAAATGAATAATAATAAAATAATTATGGCAAACATCAAAATTATTGAATTTCAATTAAATAAAGTAGCTGTAGTTATTATACCCCTGCTTCTTTAACACTGAGAAAGTATCTACTGCTACGTAATTAAATTGAAATTTTGTGTTAATTTCAAAAAGTCACTGAAGTCAGTCAATAAAATCTGTAAGCTATGAAGGTATTGTACGGTAGAACCTCGATTATCCGAATCTGGATTAGCTGAACCCTTAAGTATCCGAACGATGACGTAGTTTATCCGAACGTAGGCGCGAAAGATGCATTGTTGAACGCTGCCACCGCCGTGAGCAACAATGTATCTACCGAATTGTTCCTCTTTCATTATAATTTCGTTTGTTAATTAAATCGTACCATCATACAGAATAACGAATATAATCTGTATGGTATCGGAAAAGCAACAATCACCGATATAAAAAAGTGGCTCTCACAAAATTAGCGTCTACGATGGATAGAATGGAACCTCGATTTTTTTTTTTGTATTTGATTTTTAGCGCCACTTACAACCTGGCACCTAGAGCGACCGCTCCCCTTCCCCTACCGTTTGGCCAGCTCTGCGTAGACTATTAAAGCTTCTGCGAACGCAGAACTAGTAAGATAGCCAGATCCGACGAATTGAATGGGCAATTTTCTTTAAGTGAAACTAATTTGTATAGGAGGTATCAGTCCAGGGAGAAATAGGCGTGCTTCGGAACGGCGGTCTACCCACTCTGGTGACCGGACGGGTGACGTCATTGGACGACGACCGTTCCTACTTCGTCCATCTGCCTGGCATGCTGCAACGGCTCATGAGTTCGGCAGGTACGCTTATAATTCCTGATTCAAGAAGAGCATCCATTTGCCTGACCTGCTGCAACGGCTTATGAGTTCGGCAGGTACGCTTATAATTCCTCATTCAAGAAGAGAATCCATTTGCCTGGCATGCTGCAACGGCTTATGAGTTCGGCAGGTACGCTTATAATTCCTCATTCAAGAAGAACATTTATTTGCCTAGCATGCTGCAACGGCTCATGAGTTCGGCAGGTACGTTTATAATTCCTCATTCAAGAAGAGCATACATTTGCCTGGCATACTGCAACGGCTTATGAGTTCGGCAGGTACGCTTATAATTCCTCATTTGAGAAAAGCGGCCATTTGCCTTTCATGCTGCAACGGCTTGTGAGTTCGCTTATAATTCCTCATTAAAGAAGAGCGTCCTTTTGCCTGGCGTGCTGCAACGGCTTATGAGTTCGGCAGGTACGCTTATAGTTTCTTATTCAAGAAGAGCGTCCATTTGCATGATAAACCGGTCATGAGTATGGCAGGTGTGCTTTATAATGCCTCATTCAAGACTACTCCACTACGTCTAAAGCTAGCATAGCTGACTTGTGACTCTTACTGATTTTGCAAGTATCTAAGAGCAGATATGCTATATCACTCACCACCAGGTGACCCTGTTTGCTCGTTTGCCTACTTTTTCCATAAAAAAAAAAACAATTTACTATAAACATTGTTATAAATTAAGCATTTAGAAGTGGAGAAAGCTCTAATTGATTTATTTTTTATTGTGACCTATTTTATGATCGCTTTACTGTTTTTATATTTCCGTTAGTTTGCATGATCTGAACAAGCCGCCAAAGTTTCAAGTCGAATACATCTCCTAAACGGCTGGACCGATTTTAATGAAATTTTTTGTCGATTCGAGAATTTTGTTTTGTTTTTTTGTTTGTTTTTTTTTTTTAAACCCTGCCCTTACTTTAGGATAATATTATCCTGTGTTGTAAAGGACGTTTTACAAACATAAATTTCACGCGGACAAACACCCAGATGCGAAACAACTATCTGTGGGTCACACAAATAGTTGTCCCGTGTGGGAATCGAACGCACGACCCCCGACGCCGAAGCCAATATCTTGGCTACAGCGCCACGGAGTCATCATAGAATGATTTAGATTTACAATTCGGTCCACTACAATGTTTTTTCTTTCTATTTCTAAGTTGTCAAATTTAAGTCGTGTGTCCACTAGTGTACTTATATTTCTTAAAAATATATTTCCGTGGTAGATGTGGTTAGAAACAAGGATTGACATTAATCTTGTGCAATGAGACGCAGTAATATCTGCGTTTCCGCATCTGTCATCTTATCTAGGTATTATGTTCGTCCGTGCTTTTTTTAATGTTGTGTAATGGCAATTTTAAATGATGAAAATTGGTTAACAGTGACATATTTTTTTTTCCAGATGATTACTTACCTCCACTCAAAAGAGGAGCATCTCCATCTGGGAGCATAGGCCTGGAAGACACCAACGTTTTGCACGTCCACGTTACGGAGATAAAACGAGCTGACAACGTTCTAAGAGTTTCGATAACTTTGAACAAACGAAGTGAGTGTGGAAGTTTTAAAAAACTAACATTTGATAAAGTCTAAAATGTATTCTTAGATTTCATCTACGGGTGATTACGAATTTTATAGACTTGCTTCGTTTTTATAAACTTTAAGGTGCTGTATGCAGTATTCTCTGTTCTGAAATAGGTTTTTCTCAAAAGATTTTTTAACAAAATCTACACATTTTATAGCAGCAAAAAAAATATATATGTTAATCTTGATCTTACATTCTAATGGAACATTGTTTTCAAAACATATTCTCGATATATTTTCTCTATCAAAATCATGAAAATACCTGAAAAAAAAAATGAACGTTATACATCAACAAATCTTAATGAAATTAATATCAGTGGTGTAGAATATTTTAATAACAAGGATTGTTGTCTTAATTTGTTGATTGAAGTAAGACATTTGTAAATATTAATTTAATTCATTAAAACTAATTCAAACTCGACGACCAAAACACCGCGCCACCGCTGCGTTGTTTCGGTTCTTTTCCAATTCCACACGTTGAACAGAGACCGCCGAGGCGCGTTTCTAGATGGACCTATACCGCTCGTTTTCCGCTCACCGTTACGAAATAATTATGTTCCGTATTTATTTATTATTGAGAGTTATAATTTTACTAGATCTTTCGAAAACACGAAACTAAAAATATATATTCACATATTTCGTATTATTAATTATTTGTATGTATTAACAACTAAAGCGTACTTTCATAATCTTATCTTGTGATTGATAAGTTTATCAGTAAGATATGTGATAAGTGTATAGTAAAGGACCATCATTCTATAGGGATTAGGGTTCAAATCCCTGGATTTCTTTGTTATATTTTTGTGTGAGTTTCTTTTTTGTAGGTATTTTTTTTATTTACCGTTTAATTTTTGTTGGTTTTTTATTTTTATCAATAATTACAACAAAATATTATTGTATTTGTTGAACGTAGACCCAACAGTTGGAGAACAATCTATCTGATAATAAACCAATTTTTCATAATTTAAAATTTTTAACGTCTTATATTGTATATTGTTTTTAATTTGTTTTATTAAGATATTTAATTTTCACCCTAAAACGAAAATTATTTTTTTACGAACACGAAAAATAATTGTTTTAAATTTTTTCATTAATTAGTTTATTTTCCACATTTTATGAAATAAAAACAAAATAATTAATTGAATAACAAATTAAAATTGGAAAAAAACATACCACTCAATAAGGTTTGAACTTTGGACCACAGTAATTGTTCACCTGCCATGACGCACGGACCAATAGGCTACACGATGTCTGCGGAAGGTAACAAAATTTCGATTCTACTTATAATTGTTGTCGTTTATCGACGATATAAGGAATTTTATCGATAGTTTTTTAAATATAATTTCATTGAGGAATTAATATAACGTAGTAAGTCTTTCACATTTAAAGAATAAATTAAAGATATATAGTTTAAGAAAATATGTAATAAATAAGTCGTATTCGTAATTACTGAGAGACTATGAAATTGCTTATAATTTTTATAAGCTATTACTTGTAAATCAAAATAAATAGTTATTCGTTTATTCATTGTTTTGTTGTAAGATATGTCATTTGCCTTAATTAATTTATTTGACCGTAAGATGTATTTTTAATCAATTCTTATCCGTTTTCTGATAATTTAAAATAATTAATAGGAAGTTTTTCTAAAATTGTTGATTGCTTTCTCATACTTTATATTTGTTTGTTTATTATTATTCCTATAATAATATAAAAGTAAAATAGAATCGTGGTCTATAAAAAATATTATAGGGATCATCTCTGTACATTTTCGAAAGCCTTCCATGATACTTTCGACAGTATCCTACGGCCCACCACTACACACACACTAGGTAATGAATGACTTGGACAAGCGGCGCGTCGACGAAACTCGCGCGCTGCGCTGCTAAGCGGGGTTACCTCTCCTCCGCTTCCTCATACTTCACCACCCAAATAGTTAAAAATTCACTGCGTACAGAGCCTTAAGTACATATTCTGATTTTGTTCACTGTTGTATTGGATTTGGTACTTTTCCGAAATACCAAGAAGGTTCTCGTCGTTTTAGAAAATAAAAAGCGTCTTCACCGTTGGCAGAAATTTTTTTTTACCTCAATTTTATTTCAATTTCATTCAAAAAAACGCACTAAAATTAATGTGCGTTTTTTAATGGGTTGTAACTCAAATGAATCCTCTGCTGCGCAACGGGTGTACAGAGGTACAAAGAGTAAGGAATAGAATTTTTCCACTCGAAGATACTTGCGCAAATTTCGTGGAGCCAAATAAACCCTCCGGTACATTAAACCCTTGCGCAATGATATGACCAACTCATTATCCGGCTTGACTGTTCGAGCCTATATTACGGTGAAGCTAGCCTGTAGACTTTATTCTACGCAAATAGTAATGAAATCCGATTGAGGTTTTCTTTTAGCTACTATTATTTTAATATACGGGAATAAATTATGTTCGTTTATTATATAATTTATTTAATTTCCCAGAGCTTCCAAATACAAGTGTAACAACAGATAATAAGAGAGCAAGTTTGGTTTTCGGCTGCAGCGCTTGTGCCGCTGTGTTCCAGACGGAGAATGAATTAAAGGAGCATCAAGAGGTATTTTTAAATCAATTCAATAAACATAAATATAGACTAGGATTAAAGGTGATGTATTTCAAATACTATTTTTGTCAACAATGATTTAAAAAAAATACCAGAGTACGTTCCAGGCAAATTATATAATAATAGTATTAACACTTGCTCGAACATCGCATAAATGTTTAAATCCAAAATTATAAAAACTTCAAAATTGTAGATCGTAGGAACATAAATTTCAAAACTTTTGTCGCCAAGTCCCATAAGCCACATGTAATCGTATTACATGTGGCTTATAGGGCATTGTATCATGTGTATTACAAGGTTCCCTTTTTGTATTTTTTTTTATTTCTATACGTTAATCGGAAGCACCAGACGTATGCTTTAGTTCCGAAACCAAATATTTCTTTCGAAGGACAAGCTAAAATGAACATCTCTTTTTTTTTTAATGACTTACGCTTCTTTCAAGGACAACTTGTTACAAATGTTTTATATATACTCACTTTCAGACTCAATGTGTTGACGTAGATGACGTTCTTACGATAGACGTAGACAAAAACGTTAAAGGTTACACAATGGAAAAGAAAGGAAAAGATAAATGCTATTCTTGCAATCAGTGTCAAGTAAGTATCAATTTTCTTTATTTCGTATTGCAAATTTTAGGAAATTTTTATCTTTTTTATATATATTAGTATATTATTACTTCTTTTACTTACTTTATTATTATTTTTTACATATATTTGGGTATATTATTGGATACGAATCAAAAATGTCCTATGTCAGTTTATTTATCGGACCGGTTCATACATAACGCTTAATTCGTTTAAATTTTTCTAAGATACATGTTTTGAAAAAAAAATCGGGATTCGTGTATTTAATACATTTTACATAAACTACTTATTTTATTCGGTAAGCAGATAAACAGTGGACAATTCTAATTTTGTCATTAGACTTGATTTAATAAGCATGCATTGGAAGTATTTCAATACCTCGATCTTTGACTGCGCTCATCGAGTTTCCACCTTCAGTCTCACACATCGTCACTGCTATCTGGCCAGGAGAAGTTTTGTACACTACCTTCCATGTAAACACAGGGCCTCCACGCTAAATTTATTTCCGCGTAGGACGTCCCCGCGTATGATTAATAAATTCATCGCCATCAACTATCTATAGTACTGTTGACATATTAATTTTTTTTTCTTTACAGTTAAAATTTACAAAGCTGTACAACTGTCTTAAACATTTGAAAACACATTTTAATTCTGTGAGTGAAATTAATGACAAGAATTCGTCGAAATCTGAGAGTAATGAAGAACAAAAAGATGGTATCTATAAGTGCATGATGTGCTCAAGTACTTACTTCCATCCATCTACCCTTTCAAAACATATTGTCGCAAAACACATTAAAGTAAGGCAAAATTAAAAAAAAATCAAACATTACGATGTCTTTTACTTTTGTATTTTAAAATCATATTGGCTATACATGTTTTACTGTTGTACTAAATTGTTTACATAGATAACATACTATCACATTTTAAAATATCTCATCACAAAATACGTTATCTAAATCTTCAAAGAAATCATTACTTGACTTGGTAGCTTCTCCATCTGTAGGTGCATAAAGATCTGAAACAAAGAACAAAACTCAGAATACATATATTTATTTCTTGTCAACTAAAAGCAAGCGCCCGGACTATGAGGCGCAATATCTCTGTGTCGAATCCCAGTGCCGATGCCAAAGAATTTGTTAAGAAGATCATTCTGATCAATTCAGAGAGTTTGACCATGACTTTGGCAAATAAAATAACATTTGAAAAGCCATTTGACAGCTCATTAGTTAACTTCTATGATGATCAGTGTTACATAAACCGGGCGTAAATCATATTAAATATCATCTAATAAACCTAGTCCACACGGCATGATGCAAAGAAAGTTAGCTGCATTTCCACTCTTGATAAATATGCTTGCTTAAACTTTGAGCGAGAAAAGTACCAGCCCTCTTGTACCCAGCTGCGGCTGCAGCTTAGGACGTAAACCTTTAAAAAATTCGATCTACGGAGGCAACACAAACTTAAAATTTTAATAGCAAATGGCACAAATAAATAATCTGAACAAAAAGACTCATGTTTCATTTGCATCACTTCGTACTTCAGCTGCCTCCGATACCGCCCTGGCCCTGACCAAAGTACCCCTTAAATTAGAGAGAGGTCTCCAAAGTGTGCGCAAGTAGCATCCTAAACGAGGGCTAGCCTCTCTCCCAAGGGGTCAAAGTCAACCCGACGTGTCACAAGGCTCTAAAATAGAAGGAAAATTGATGGAAACGAGCCCTATGGATGACGTTCTTAAGGGTACCATGCCACTTTTTTGAGAAGAAAGCCGGTGGAGACCATATTTATCTACACTACAAGAAAATTTATGTTGGGAACCCCAAATGGAATCCTACAGCTATGTGTAAGCTTTCATCATTAAGGAATTTGCCCAAGTAATGTAATGGTTAAGTGCTTAAATCAAATGGTAATTATCTGCGATTTTTCAGCAAATTAACAATATTATTTCTTGTTATAACAATGGAGTATAAACATAAAAAAATACTTGGAATATAGCTACGGAAAACATACATTAAGGGCATTCGTAGTAGTCAATATATTTAGCTAGTATGGTTAGAATTTTTTTTTTAATTTATACATACCAGAGTTCCCTCTCTCCATTTTGAATACTGTGTAATCTTCATTTGAGAATTTTTCATAACCATCTGGGGACGAGTTCTCTTCATCTTGAACTATTATTGAACTATATATAGCCAAGATATTACTTAAAGTTATATTTAAATAATGTTTTTTGAAGGCACTGCCTGTTATTAATACAGTTGGCTTACATAATATCAGAGCACAACACTCTGGTATAATATATGAAGAAAAATGTGACCATGCATCTCTGTGTAGTGTGCATTTAATATTTCCTGAAAATAAAAAAAAAATGTTTTATTATACAAATTACAATTCTTTTTTTTTTAAATTATATTTTTTTCTCCTTAAAACATTAGTTATTAATATATTTAATACTAAAATTGTATTGGAGATTCAATTAATAGAATATATTGAGCTTGTGTTGTAGTAAAATAAGAACAAAATTAGATAATATTGTATTAAATGTTATTCAAATTAGTAGCCCCATGACTTAAAACCCATTATACATTTATTTTTGTGGAGACAACACATATGTTTATTCTATGGAGTGCTAAACATAATGACACTTAATTTTAATGATTTGGAAATGGTGCTGCTTTGACATGCCAGACTAACGGTTTAAATATTTGATCTAAAAATAGATTTGGTTATTGGATATACAATTTTAACCTAAGTATTGTGAATCTAATATCAAAAACATTTTGCTAATAACAAAATCTATCTATAGCTAGAATATTGAAACAGGCCATAAGAATTTAGACTTGTATATATTCAAAATTCATAATAATATTTAACTTAAGAGATTTATAATTTTTTTTATTCATAACTAAAAAACATACCAGTTAAATCCCTTAATGTAACCAGAGGATCCAATGCAGACCTGTCTACACTTTCAACAAATGCCGTTATTGTTTGCGCTTTCCTGCATTTCAGATTCCCATTAAGAGCTAGTTGTTTAACAGTTTTGATACTATCCACAGGTGTTAAATTCCAAATATTTAAATCTTGCAACAGTTTCTTCCAAAGTGGTGATTCAAATATACCTTTTTGCAATGGGTTTTGTGAAAAAAAAATTTCCTGATACAAATAGAAAAAAGTTGGGCTCAGTCTTCAACATGAGACTCATAGTTATTGAGAAAAATATATTGAAAATAATGAACTGTGATATTATTCCAATTAAGTTTAGGCAATTTTCTCCAAGGGGTTCCTCTTGTTTTTTTACACTTATTATTTAAATCCATAAAATGAGGAAAATTTCCACAGAATTAAAAATTAAAAAAACTTGAAAGGGACGGGAGGAGCTAAGCAACTTTTCCTTTTAAGGGAGAGATGATACCCCTTTCGCCCGTCAATTGAAAGTTGTACCAAAAGTTGTTTGTAAGCATTTTTTCATTAACAGATACTAAAAAATAAATTACAAAATTGATATACCTGTGAAAGGAACTCTATACGACCGACATCTTCATCTTTATATTCCTCAAAACTTCCAGATAAAAGTCCTGCCGGACCAGGAAATTTTCTTTTGCAATGAGAATCAAAGTGGGATTTAATTATTTTTCTCTTACAATGATGAGGAGAAATAAAGTTGGTGGTGGCTGCAATTGAATTGATTTCAACATTGACTATATTTTTGTTTATGCTATCTACGACCGTATTATCAAATTGCGATATTGAATCATTTAAAAGATTTTTATTTGGCCTTTTTTGAGTTGTACAAATAAAATTTTCAACACCTTTTGTTGTTGACGTTTTGTTACAACTTTCATCTGGCAAATCTAATTGAGACAGCACCTGCAAGAATTTATGCTTTAATTGAATAATTGCTTGAATAATTGTTTAATTTGTTAACAAATACCTTATTATAGGTATTTGTTAACAAATTAAACACTTACAACAACATGAGACTCATAGTTATTGAGAAAAATATATTGAAAATAATGAACTGTGATATTATTCCAATTAAGTTTAGGCAATTTTCTCCAAGGGGTTCCTCTTGTTTTTTTACACTTATTATTTAAATCCATAAAATGAGGAAAATTTCCACAGAATTAAAAATTAAAAAAACTTGAAAGGGACGGGAGGAGCTAAGCAACTTTTCCTTTTAAGGGAGAGATGATACCCCTTTCGCCCGTCAATTGAAAGTTGTACCAAAAGTTGTTTGTAAGCATTTTTTCATTAACAGATACTAAAAAATAAATTACAAAATTGATATACCTGTGAAAGGAACTCTATACGACCGACATCTTCATCTTTATATTCCTCAAAACTTCCAGATAAAAGTCCTGCCGGACCAGGAAATTTTCTTTTGCAATGAGAATCAAAGTGGGATTTAATTATTTTTCTCTTACAATGATGAGGAGAAATAAAGTTGGTGGTGGCTGCAATTGAATTGATTTCAACATTGACTATATTTTTGTTTATGCTATCTACGACCGTATTATCAAATTGCGATATTGAATCATTTAAAAGATTTTTATTTGGCCTTTTTTGAGTTGTACAAATAAAATTTTCAACACCTTTTGTTGTTGACGTTTTGTTACAACTTTCATCTGGCAAATCTAATTGAGACAGCACCTGCAAGAATTTATGCTTTAATTGAATAATTGCTTGAATAATTGTTTAATTTGTTAACAAATACCTATAATAAGGTATTTGTTAACAAATTAAACAATTACAATTCTTGGTATTTTTTCCATTAGCCAGGACAGACCTGATCAAAATCATCACTTTCAAACATAGTTTTTGAATTAAAAAAAAGTTCGAAGAATAACTGTTTCATTCATATTTTATAAATTAATATCTCCAAAATAACTGTACAAGACACTGTTCTTGTTCAAATCCCCAGGGCTCAGGGGAATATTTCGGCTATGCACCAATGAAAACACTTTTCGAGAATAAACAAGCACAAAATAATTAATAAATACTTCAAACGTCGAGGAAAATTTAATTAATATCGATTATTTAACAAAAACAAACATTTTGCGCAAAATGAAAGTAAAAATCATAGAGAATGTAATCACTACGTTTACGTTGGCCCAATGGTATCGCCAATCCAATGACAATAATGGTAAAGAAACAAATGGTTTCAAATATCTAGTTGTTTATTTTTGTCCCGCTTTTGAAATTATGAAGTAAAAATATAAATAAGTTTTTCCGTTTTCGAGATTATGACTTGTTTACAGAATTATAGTACTACAGATACACTCAGTATATATGTCTTATCTATGGATAATTGGATACACTAAACTGCACTAAACCAACTTTCCCATTGATTATTTTACTCTTTTCACTACCACAACCAGTGCTTCCACATCGATTCCGCTTCGTACTCTCGTAACCTCTCTCTAAGACGGAGGGCTCATGCCACCCGAATTAGACGCTACTCGCAACTTCGGTTGCAATTTAAATCTTGTAAGCGGTGCATTAGTTTAGTGATAGTGTAGTGTTGTGCTCTTAGGCAGGTTCCTGTTCTGTAAGTAGAAATCTATACACACTTCTCGCCTCAGAGGCGGCATTGTTTTCTCCAGGCGGCCTCCTAGAGGAACTCTTTCGCCAACGCTTTCGCGAAGTGTGGGCGAACTTTCTCGCGCTCACGTAAGAACAATGTTTAGTCGTCGTGTTCGCCAGCGACAGCCCGGCTTCACCGGCAGTCGCCTCAACGCCATCTCCGGTGCCCTCTGCGCCCGCTAATATGTCGCCTTCAGCGACACAAGAAATACCCGTCGCTTCGACCTCCGTCGCCCCCATCGTACCCATCGCGCCTTCCGCGCATCCCATCTCGGTCCCCTTCCGCACCGTAGTTCCCGACTCACAATCGGACGGCGGCTCGGACATGGAGGTCGAAAAGACCCCCACTGATAACGCAAACGCCGACGGCTTCATTGTCGTAAAGTTGCGTAAGAAGAGCAAAATACGCCCCGCATTCGACAACGACCCCGAATGCGAGGCCGCCACATCTAACCGTCCCACCTCGACGCGCGCCAAAAAGGCAGCCGCGGCTGTCCAACCGGTACCAGAATTCGCCGAAAATTTAAGCGAGCGAAAAATTAAGCCACCGCCTCCAATAATAATTCAAGAGAAGGCAAAGTGGCATCAAGTATGCTCGTGGTCCGAATGCCACAACATCCGCGACCCCCGGTCGAAGAATACACATATGGGTATCCGCATATATCTAGATACAACGGACGACTTCCGCCGCGTAACTAATTACTTACCGGAAAATAAGGTAGGTTTCCATACCTACTCGTTGCCCGAAGAACGAAAACTTCGGGTAGTAATAAATGGAGTCGGATGTCGATAAGGCTAAGGTCGACATCCGCATTGAGGGATACCCCGTACATGCAGTGCGACGAATCAGGCACCCTAAAACCAGTGTCCCTATGGACATGGTCATGGTTGAACTTGACCCTACCCCGGAATGTAAGGCCATCTTCAACCTGAAGAGGGTCTGTGGGCTCAGTGACTTAGTCCTCGAGCCCCCGCGCCAATCAGGTCTTGTGGCACAGTGCCACAACTGCCAGCACTACGGCCACACGGCCAATAATTGCTTCGTTCACCCTAGTTGCGCCAAATGCACCGGTGACCACGGCACGCCCGACTGAACGCGGCCGAAATATTGCGCTGATCCACCGGACTGCGTAAGCTGCCACGAAACCAGCCACCCGGCTAGTTACAGAGGCTGCGCTAAGGCCCCGAAAACTCCCGCGAAATCAAAATTGCCCAAACCCGCGCTCGTGAAATACATTCCCGCGCCCGTACCCGTCGTAAACGCCTGGGCGAAACCCCAGGTGGCCGCGCAGGTAGTTGCGCCCCCGGTCGCCTCAATCGCTCAAACAGCGCCGACGCCACAGATGCAGTCGACACTGTCGGTTTACGCCGAAAACAAGGACGACCCGTTCGCCCAAATTGCCAACATCTGCGCCTTATTAGACCGCATTAATAGACAAGAACTCGCCGTATTGTCCGCTAAAATAGCGGCCGCCACATCCGGCACCGCGCGATTTAAAGCCATTAGCGAACATGAAATGCTTGTAGAAGCTCTCTGGGCATTTACAAGCCAACCATAAACTTAATAGTCCGCGTAATAAAACCGCGATCCGCCGCGTCCTTAGTTAGAACTCATAAAAAACTTTAATGGGAAGTACAACCGCAGGTAGAACAAACCCTCGGGCTCTGGTTGTTTCGTATTTCAACGCAAACGGCAACGCAAAGGGTCAAAGGGACAAAATCGCAGATTTCCTTCGCGATTATAACGTAGATATTTTTTTAGTGCAAGAGACCTTAAATCCTAGTGTACGCGATCCCAGAATCGCAAACTATAACATAGTCCGCCACGACCGGTTAGCAAACCGTCTGGGAGGCACTAATTTATTACAAACGGTCCTTGCACTGTAGCCCACTCGACATTCCAGAGCTAAGCCATATAGAGGCATCCGCGTATAGGTTAGCGCTCACCGGCCATAGGCCGCTTGTACTAGTCTCAGCCTATCTCTCGGGGAACAAAACCTTATTACAAAGCGACCTAGATACGGTACTCAACTTAGGCCCTTCCGTGATAATTGTAGGCGATCTAAACTGCAAACACGGCTCATGGGACACCCACAGCATCCCAAATAACAACGGAAAGCATCTCTTTAGCTTATCCGATAACTTAAATTAGCATAGTCGCTCCTGCGACTCCCACTAGGTATCCTACGGTGGACAATTACCAACACGCGACACCGAGTATCCTAGACATTATGTTATTCAAGGAGGTCTCGTTCGACATCGAGTCGATAGAGACAAGCCATGAACTAGATTCCGATCACAGGCCCGTCCTGTGTAAACTGGGCCAGAACACCGGCGCGGTCCCTCCGACCAAATCCGTAGTGGACTGGCATCGTCTTGAGGTGCAACCTCAAGGCCTTGGACCCCCAGTACATAGTCGACCTACCCGAGACGATAGCTACGTTCGATGACGCAAATCGAACAATCGTCTCCGAGAAACTATCACTTCCGCAGTAGCAGATTCTGAACGTACGGTGAAACTGTCGGGCGACCGACGGTTTAACTTTCCGCCCGACCTGCGACTGCTATTTAGACAGAAAAACAGCCAAACGCGCTTTCGACCGATACCGATCGGAATCGAACCGAACCCTACTTCGACGCCTTCAGCTAGAAGTCGAAGATCGTGTATCGGAACACCGACATACCACGTGGGACACTCTCCTAGGGAACATCGAGCCATCGCACACCGCCTACCGACCGTTGGCCCGCAGTCTGAAAGCAGACCCCCGCGAATCTCTACCGCCTTTAGTTAGACCTAATAGCGCTTCAGCAGCCCTAGATGACTCCGAAAAAGCCGAATGCCTTGCGGACAACCTAGAGCAGCAATGTACATCATCGCGCAAACACACTGATACACCTAACAGAGGTGGACCGCGTAATCGAGATTTGGGCTGCGCTTCCACCGGAAGGCGATCCTTTGAGTTCAGTGACCCCCGAAGAGGTCCAAGACATTATTAAAAATTTAAAACCGAAATCCGCCCTGGGCCTAGATAATTTTAATAAGAAAATTCTTAAAGCTCTCCCTGGGCCGCTTATCTGTTTACTGGCCACCATTTTCAATACTTTACTCTCCAGTTGCTCCTTTCCGGACGACTGGATAGAAGCCACGGTTATCGGCATTCGCAAGCCGAATACACCAGCCAACCAGCACTCTAGTTATCGTCCCATCAGCTTCCGCAGTTGCCTGGGGAAGCTCTACGAGCGGCTTCTATTAAACAGGTTCAAGGAGCACGTGTTTACCAACGGCCTTCTGCCGGCGGAACAATTTGTCTTTCGAGCTAGACATTCCTGTTCGAATCGACCAATTATTCCGCCTAACGGAGCATATCCTAAAAGGCCTAAATCACCCTAAACATATTAGTACAGGGGCTCTTTTCTTCGATCTCGCAAAAGCATTCGACAAGGTCGGACACAAAGGCTTACTTTACAAGCTGTTTACATTCAAAGTGCGCGATAGGCTCGTACACACCATCGACCCGGATGTTCCTGTCGAACCGATCTTTTCGATATCGAGTTGAAGGCACCTTCTCCACAAGCCACCACCTCACGGCCGGCGTACCACAAGGCTCCTGCCTCTCACCTTTGCTCTTTACGCTCTACACGAGCTATATACCCAAAGACCCCCACGTCAATCTCGCGCTTTTCGCGGATGACACGGCGCTCTTTTACACAGATAAAAATCTCAATCAACTCACTACTCGTCTCCAGGCGACCGCCGCCGACCGCCTCGGCGATTGGTTCCGCAAATGGAGAATAGAAGTAAATCCCGAAAAGAGTGTTGCGATTCACTTCACACGAAGTACTTACCCGTCACAACTTTATAAGGGCCCTCGCTAATGCAGAAAGTTGGGACAAATATCCTTTTATGGCTGACCTGCGTACGACTTATTATATCCTACGCATGCATGACCTTCGCCCACACGCACCCTACAAATAAGTTGCAAATAGTACAAAATAAGTTCATCGGCCGCGCAACCAGTGCTCAGTGGTATCAACCTAAAGTCGACCTGCACAGCGATTGCAGACTCCCGACGATTCGCGAATATTTTAAAGACCTGACCAAACGGTTCTTCCATAGAGCCGAACATCATCCCAACCCTTTGGTGGTAAGCGCAGCAAATTATCAACCCGACACAAACGCGAACGTCAACAAGCGTCGCCCGCGAAACGTCCTCATCAACCCGGTCGAGG